AATTATACCTAATCAAAGTGTTGACAATTTTATTTGATTAACATTTTACTTTTCCATAGATTTACGATTTACCATAAATAAACAAAATGAGACAATACAAAAATAATAAATGTAACATTATATATTATATAAGTGTGTATATATCGTATGAATGTGTTTTGTATGAATGTGAATATGTGTGTGTATGTAAGAGAGTATCGATTTGGGTTGGTATTTGTTTCAAACGATCAATTCGTTGAACGATACCTATGTTAAAACGATTCGAGAATGTACTTGATCAATCGAAATAGATTTCTCTCCATAAACACGGTGTTTCTAAACTACTATGACATGACTCGATCATTTAATAGAAACATAGAAATAAATAGATAGATAGATAGAATGAAAATTAATAGTTTTTTAAACTACCAATGAAAATAATTCGATCTATTCGATGGAAATATAAAAACAATACGAGTATTCTGATATATAAAATATATATTAAAGAATTAATGAATTTATTTTTATTGAAAGTTAAACGATATTCAATCTCTGGGCTCAATTATTCAATTTTGAATCAATTGAAATCATATTTATTTACGTTTGAAATAAATTTTCTTATAAACGTATTTGAAAAAGTATTACATTGTTTTAACGAGATTATTTGTTAGACGGTTTAAACAACGATAAAATATAATATTATTATACTTTTGTTTTATATTATCAATCACTTTTAAAAATAAAATTAATAATCTCGATTAAAATAATATACAATAATGATATTAACGAGAAAAGTATTATTTCTTAAATAAATATATTAATATATAAACAAAATTATAATAATAATCTAAGTGTGTGTGTATATATCGATTGTTTAATAAATAATTTTTAATCATTTCGTAAAGTTTATTATTTATAATACAACAATTGATCAAAAGAGTAGAACACACACACACACACAAAATAATTGAAATATATCAAGTTAATTAATTTCTTTTATACTCTTTCTCTCTCTCTCTCTCTCTCTCTCTTTTTAACTAAAAGAAACAAGTGCATAGTTAAAAGAAGATGAAAAAAAGAAAAAGAAAAAAAAAAAGAAATACAGAAGGAACATGAAATAAAAAGTAGATAGAGAAATTCGTGTGAAATATGCACCGAATTAGTTCTCTTCCTGGTGTCTCTCGGCCTCGTTATTTTCCCTTATCTGTAAAAGGGAAGAGTTAGGGAAAGGGTGGTTGGTTACTTTTGGCTTACAAAAAGCTTCTACAAACTATTTTTCATTTTTATTTCCACCTCTCTCACCAATCTCATCGGTTCCTTTACCTTTCTCTCCTTCTGATACTTATTCTTCTTCCTTTTTTTTTTCTTTACTTTTATTTCCCCTTTTTTATATTTTGAAGTTTGTTCTTTTTATTTTCTTCTGAACATGGTAATAATAATAAATAAATAATCTAGTAATAATACCAGAAAATAATCGGAAACATATTCGAATGTACTTCTACTTCTTATTTTTTATTTTGATAATATGTTGACAGTAAACAAGTTGTTTAAATTATTCATGTATATAATTTACACGTGTGTACAACAAAGATCGTTTAATTTAAAAGTTTAATAAAATAATTTTCATAAGAATTTTTATGTGTGTGGAAAAAAATTGA